GAATGAATAGCTACAAGAAGGGGAAGCAACTGTTTAGGCCTGTCACTATCACCAACAATGATCTTGTTGAGCTATGCACAAATACTCATTCTAGGCAAACTAGAAGACTTAACCATGAATAACAAAGTAATTCCACGTGCAACCTGTAACAGAGGTATAAGGAGGTCAAAATGTAGTATTTAATTTGTAACAAAGAAGCCAAATCTCTTTTAAAATCCAAAACTTGAGCTTATTTCTGGAGTTGCAACTTGTAGCTCAGGACACGCTTACATCTGTTAATATTTTTGACATCTTTATTTTGAAATGCTGAAGATAATCAGGAACCTTCTCCCCACTACTTATATAATTTATAAGCTGACGATGAAACTAAACAAATTAGAAAAACATTACAAAAACATTGTACAGATACCTTTGATGTTCCCATAGCAGCAGATGTGAAGTACTTTGGCTTATATGCAGCTATGTTCACTTCTGAGGCTACATCTTTTGGCTTATCATCAAATGTAACATTATCTGGAATAAATCTTAAAGGCAAATATAACACGTTATTATTCAAGTACACTGGGAAACTTCACAGTATAAACACTCTAAGCTTTTTTTTTTGTCATAAGCACAAAAGAATTTGCTATAAGAAAAAGCTGGTGAAACTGAAAAGGAAACATAAGAACTGGAGTACTCCACATATGGAAGATGATCTGTCTTGTTTCTGCACAGCTATTCCACAGGTCTGCAATGTATAACACCACCATGCTGGGGAAGTAAATTAAACAACTTCCAATTTGGTATTAACAGGGTCAGGGATGGGTTTTTCAAGGGGCTTTGTTTAAAAATCATCTTTTCAGGAAGCTTAGTTTTAAAAATTCAAACGAGAAAAATGAATAAAATAGAATTTGGAAACAATTTTTTTAAATAAAGACTTTTTAAGAAAACTTCTTATATCTTTAAAATTACAATTATTAGGGAAAAGAAATGTAACAGACAAAACTTGTGTAAAAATGGAAGACATTACATAAAAATAACAACTTTGTACGCTATGTGACAAACTACTTAGACATTTTTTCTTTTAATCACTGCGAATGTAATCTGACAAATACTATTCAACATTAAAAATTAATGAAGTAGAAGATTAGGAAAAACATTAGAGAATATCAAACAGCTGTGTCTGTTGTAAAACATGATCCTTCTATGTTTAGTAGCATAAAAAGTTCTGTGTTCATTTGGCAGAGATCATCCTCCCTGAAATGGTTCAAAGCAAATGAACTGAGTTCTTTTAGAAAATTATTGAAAGAAAAAAACTTGTCTTTCACTGGCTTCCAAGAGTGCCAATAACACAGACTCCAGCAGGCAAAGCCAGCTTCTGTCAAAAATTACTATGATTCAGTAACTTCCTCACTGCTCGGACTAAAAGGCTTTTTTTGGTAGTAGAAGGAAATACTAGCTGTAAAGCACAACTATAACTTAAATTTCTTTCTTTCTCAAACATGACTTTTGAAATATTAGAGCTTCCAGCTCATTCACAGAGGCTAGCAGAGTAATCTGTTGCAACATGATGACAACAGCAAGAATATTCTTGCCCTGTGGCAAGCAATGCTGGAAAAGACCACTTCTAGACTCTTAGGAAAAGAATTAAGAAAAAATTAAATAATTTTTAAAAGGCAGCAGTATGGTTTTTTTGTTTCCTAAATAGTACCACTTTATTTAATTGTATAAAAAGGGTGGAGGTGCATCCAGAACATTTTATCTGACTTCTCTGAGAGTAATCTCTCGATGGAGAGATCCCTTTCAAGCTTTCCACATTCTGGTAAAAATGCTCAAAACAAAGAAAAAAGCATCAAAAGGAAACCTAACAACTTACTGGAAGCCAAATTTATTTACAAATCTCATTTTAGTCACAGAATAAAGGCAAGATAGTTTACTCTGATTTATTTTAAATTGGCTTTAATTCTCTTTCTTCTCCCCAACACATAAAAACGTCACCCCTGGAGTTACCTGAGGTCTACAAAAGAGCAGCTACTTTCAAATTCCAGTCCATCACATTCCTCATAGATTTTATTGGCTGTTTCAGGAGAATCACATTCCACAACTGCATAGAAGTATTTCAGTCGCTTAAATTGATACTCACGTAGTTTTTCCTTATAAATCCTGCAAAAACAGAAACCAGCCAAGGGAGCTGGCCTTAACAACTTCTCATTTGCAAAATATTTTAATTCAGCTCATTAAAAATATGCAGCATTCAAACACTCTCCTAGTCTTATGATTAAACAGCATGAAGTTTCACCAGAACAAGTAATGAATAGAATCATTCATTCATATTGGTTAACTGAATAGAGAATTCAGTTTTATTCAAGTAAACAGACTCCATGCCTCTGTGCAGGCCACAAAGTAGCACTTAATGGTTCCTATCCAGTTGTCCTGGCTCTTGACAATGCTGATAAAAAGGCTGTTCAAATGCAAGGTACATGTTAAGAACATCAGATGCACTGGGAGATGGTGAGGACAGGACTGCAGATGGCAGATGCAGAAAGAGGCAGCGTGGGAGTGATGAAGAAGAAAGTGGTAGAGGTGAGGGAAGGAATCAGGAAACTAACAGGCAGCAGCACAGGTGGTGTCACAGAAAATGACAGCAAAAGAAAGAGGAAAGCAGAAAAGAGATTTAGAAGTGGATGGATTGGCACAAAGGATGCAGGAGAGAGATGGCAGGGATGAGATCTTGTCCCGTGCATTTGAAGGGCTCACACACAGGTATCACTAAAGTATCTCTGAGGTATCTGGATTCCTGTTTGTGGTATTCCCAGATGCTCTGGAGTGCACTGAGGAGTAAATGTAATGCTCCAGGGTTCACCTCGATGCACACAGTGAAGCTGTCTTCAGAATGCACTGGAAGCTCATCCATACACTTCCCTGACACACTAGAGACTTTCTTCAAAGGGGTCTGCACTTATTTTAGAAGCATCCAGCTTTTCCAAATATAGGACAGTCCAGCAGGATCTATTACACAGAAATGGCCCCAGTCAGGCTGCCAAACATCTGGAAATTCTGGAAAACTATAAAAGTAAAATCTCTTAAGCTCCACACATACAAGACTTTCAAGTAGAACAAAAGGAAAACCAGAAGACATGGCTGAAGAAGCCTGGACAATGGCAGGCATGGTGAGCTCAGCCTAGTCAGCCGGGGCTGCTGCTGGTGCCATTCAAGAAACCTCAATCTGGGAATTCTTGGCCTAGATTAAGTTCCCTGTTGATTGCACAGATAATTTTGCCAGTAACCAACAACGGGAGTTTCCTGCATGAATTGCAATTTGCAGAGGAGAAGTGCTAAGTTAAGCCCTCCACACATCTGTTACATTTATTATTCCAATGAGCTATGTAATAAAAAAAATTTAGCTCAATTATTAATGAGTTAATTTTCTCCAGTTCCGCTACAATGCATTTATTCAACACAATGACAATTAACCAGGGCCAGCTGCAAATATCCCTTGGAAAAGCTGTAAAATTAAGGCAGCCACATGATACTTCTACATCTGAACATTCTGGAAACCAGAGCTGATCAGGATCTTCACTGAGAATCAGGCACATTGTATCTCTCCTTTGAAGATAAAGTTCATACCCATCGTTCTCTGTGGTGTTCTCTGGTAGATCCAATAGTTCCATGGGCCCTTTTTGCTCCTCCTCTTTCAATCTCTCTTTTCCAAACTCTGAAGGATAAATCTACAAATATATCATAAAAGGAAATTTTTAACTGTAGCAGTATAATGTACACAGCACCTTAGGAAAAAAAAAAAAATCTCACTAAGCTCTTTTGTCTTTGTTTTCTCCCTAAAATCAGTAAAGGGATCAATTCCATGAATTTTAATATCATTTTAATTTACAGAAAAGACAGTACAATAAACAAACTGCCTGTTAGGAATAAAAATATTTGGGGACAGACCAGGAACAAAAGGAATGCTGATGTCATTTCACCTTGGCCCTTTTCAGAATGGGGTATTTGACTGACATTTCTTAAAAAGCAGGAGGCAGACACTAAAAAAGGGAAAATGTAACTTAACTGATAAGAATTCATCCAATTTATTAACAACCCACATGTGGTGAAAAACAAGAAGTGTTGTGCAACGGTAAAAGAGATTGGAGAGCATTTAGAAACAGCCAGATTTAAGGCTGAATTATCTAATAAAAAATCCACTGAAAATTAAAACTAGCCAAGGAAATGTAGTTGCCTCCCACTAGATTTTGAGAACTTCATTATTAGTCTTAGAAAAAGAGCATTTAGAACCAACCTTATAACACGAGAACTTAACAGCTTCATGTTCCAACTCTGTGAAACACATGCCTCTTACTCCACCATGTTTAGTTCTAACACAGCAAGTTAAATTTCAACAGTTTCTCATTTGTGATGTTAGTATCTCCTTTAGTTGTCCACAGAACTGTCTTACCTTGTTCTTATTTTGTAGTGTTTTGTTTTTTTTTTTTTTGTTTGGGGGGGTTTTATTAGTAAACTCCAGTTCTTCTCAGAAATCAGGTCTTACCTTAACAGAAAATACTGCTCCTCCCTTGGGTGTGAAAGAATTAAACAGAGCCAGCAAATCCTTAGCCTTCAGTCTATCCCAATCCATATTACAAACTGCCAACCTACTTGTAATCTGAACAGAGAGGGAGGAGAAAAAGGAGATGAAGTTCAAAGGTTTAATTCCTGACTGCTGTGGGGAACACACAATTGTCTAGTAGCTATCCTTGCTAAAAATCAAAATCAGCAACAAACTGCTGAAAAAAAAATAGAATCTTCCTAGATAGTTTGCATCAGTTGAAAGAGCAATCACTGGAGCACTTATAAATGGACATCAATAAGGAAGCACCACAGAATGAGCTGCACCAATCACAGATTTAGACTGCAGCTATACCATCAGCATTTAGGATTTGATATCATATGGTGAGTCACAACAGAAACTAGTATCACAGTATTAGAACACCAGCAGAGTACTATGGCTTGTTACATGCTAATTGTGCTCAGTTTTAGAAGTCCTGCTTCATTTTGTAATTATTTCCTATTTTCTTAAGGCCCGAGTTAAAATAATAAATTAGAAAAAGTGAAAAAAAACCAGTAATGAACAAAAGCAGTACTACTGCAGCTCTTGAATTTCTGAAAAGCTCGATTCTGTTTGTTCCTTCACTTATGAAGAGTTTATCTGTCTATAATCTTATCTGTCTGCTTCAAGGGAAGGGGAGACATGGTGACAACTCTCTCATTCTCATCTAATTCCACCATCACTTGCATTCTGCAGCTACAAGGCTGGAGCACGTTCATAAACAGTTGAATGGCTGAAGGTCTCTGATGAACTCCTAACAGTACCCATTTCAGAGTCTGTCATGCAGCAGCTTTTCACACGCAAAGTGTTGTTACCTCATCTGCCCGAGGAGCATCTTTATCCAGCTCACGCCAGGAGTGCTCAATCTCTGGCTCCTTTGGGAACAGATCATCCAAATCCTCATCATCCTCCGAGCTCGTCTCGATGTTCCCAATGCCTCTAGCCAGATCAACCCCATCATCACTGTCTTCATCACCCTCTGCACCGCTCTCTTCTTCACCTGTTTCCCCGTCATCTTCTGCCTCCTCTTCCTCACCATCTTCTAGATCCTCTTCTTCACTCATTTCCTCATGATCTTCTGGCTCCTCCTCTTCAGATTCTGCATACTCAGAAGCACCACTTGAAGGAATTTCCTCCTCTAATGAGCTTTTACTAATGTCATTTTGATCACAGGTGTCTCTGCATACAGCAACTGAAGAGGAAACATCAAGTATCCATTGTTATGTTAGAATTACAGATGATCCTTTACAAAGAGGAAAAAAAACCTCATGTTTTCTTCATACAGATTTACAGAACCCCTGAAATCTGTAACAATGTAAACAACAAATGACATCAGGAAAGTGCAAACAGAAATCATCAGTAGCACCTCTATGGCTTGTCTAATCTAATCTAACCAAACCTTATGCAATCTAAGGTCTTTTGAGGCACAAAATTGTGTTACCAGTCTCAAACTCTAATGAAATATTACTTTGTTACTCTATTTATACATATAGCATCCACAGGCAGAAATCAGATGTCAGTAATGCAAGCTATATGCACACACAAGCAATATACAGGAAGTTGTTGTTCAAGTCACTTGCTCTCTCTTATGCCATCTATGATCAGTGGCTTGATGCTGTCATCCTCATGCTTTCAGCCAACAAGCATTGCTATGCTGAAGCCCTGATGGTATCAGACCTGACATTTCCTATTCAGTTTGATAAATACAGTTGTGTATACACTTCTATACATGCTACTTTTCCAACTAACCAACAATTTCAGCTCCAGTAATTAGAAGGATACAGATGTTCACAACCTTACTGAAAAATCAGCACTGGCTCCATAAAGAGCTGATGAGCTCCCAACCCTCAGCAACAGTGAGTCTGAGCCAGTCAGATGGTTTTTGATTGATTAAGCAAAAGATATTCTATGGATAAAACAAAGCAACAGCATCCAAGCAAACACAGCTGAATTCCACTTGTTAGTTCAACAACTAACCTGATTCTTTCATTTTTCCTCCTAGGGAATGGTCCCTTCTGGATGCTTTAACTGGTTTACTACCACTTCGTTGTGAAGACTTTTGTTTGTTTTGAGTTGAAACTGACCTTCCTCCTGATGCATCTCCTTGCTCCTCCTCCTCTTGGCATACAATACCCTTATTCCCCCCAGAGCAATCATTTTCTGTTGGGCTTTTCTTAGAGTCTTCTTTCCAGTTGACTTTAGACTTAACTTTTCGTCCTTTACTTTTAAGGCCATCTAGTTTTGTCCCTGCTTCATGTGTTTGGTCCACCCCTGGTTTCTTTATTTTGCTCTCCTCCTGAGGGAGACCATCAGCAACGAGTTTCGCAGAACCTGCTTCTCTTTTAGGCTTGGCTTTTTTTTTCTTCTTTATTTTCTTTTGAGAATTTTCTTTACTCTCACTTTCTGAAAGATCAGAGTCAGATTCTGACAGGGCATAAAGTTTCCTCAGGTTTTCTGTAGAAGTGTAGCTAACAGGGCGACCTCTTTTATCCATGGTGCATTTCAGTTTAAACTTCTCATCATGAAACATAGCTCGGAACCGTTTGTCAATCTTGACTTTACGTTCTTTCTCAGGCATCTCCCAAAATCTGGGATCCCTGGTAATGCGGCTAAACCGCTCATCTCTCAGGATTTCCTCCTGGGATGCCATGTTTGATGCTGTTGAAGACTTGGATATCTGCAATGTGAAGAAAAAAACCAGAAATTTCTAATTAAAACATCTGATCAACCCAGATTTAGGTAAGTAAAACACTTCTGATTGATAGAGCTGAGTAATATAAATTTAGATATTTAATAGAAAAAAAATAATTAAGCAAAGTTATATTTTTAACAGATTTCAGGCTTCTACCTAAAAAATTATTTCCAAAGGCACACAGGGCAATCTAAATAAGTCATAGATAATCCTGTAACTCCCCAGACTTGGCCACAAACCTCAGGTTCTTCAGGTAATAGAGATGCAAGTAAACAAATCTTACCAGCTCCAGATACACTGATTCAGTGACGCCCTCAACTAAACAGACCTGACCAGCTGCACACACAGGGACTAAGCGACTCCCTGCAGACCCCAAACAGGCCGCCCAGCAGTTTCACGGCCAGCCAGACCCCAGACTTCGGCTCCCCACAGCACGAGGTCATGTAACACGATACAGCGCTGGAAGGAAGGAGCCGGCAAT